ATATATGGATAAATAATAATTTAAATTTTGTCTTAAAAATTTAGAGAGTTTTAGAAATGAAGTTGAAAAATAAAAAGAAAGCAATAAAAAAAAAATTATAGATTTAAATTTGAATATTGATTGGAATCATCCTATTTAATTTTATCTTTCTGCACTTTAACTTTCTCTAAAGTTTTAACCTTTTAAAAAATCTGGACAACTCTCTTTGTTTGGATTGGTTAAAATCTAAGATGAAAATATATATAATATATACTCTCATTTTCTACTTTTCTAATTTAGGACAATTAGCCATTCTATGACCCATCCCGTCACAATAGCCACAAGAACCATTTAAATCTTCATCTGACTTAAGTTTTTCTAGAAACTAAGGTATTTCTAGAATTATGATGAGAATAAAAGATACTTTATTTAGATTCAACAAGTAGATATTTTAAATCTAATAGAATTGATTCTTCTTATTATCTATTAACAAAAGTTGTAGCTCTTCCAGTTTTTCCTTATCTTCCAGTTCTACCAATTCTATGTATGTAAGATTCAATCTAATTTAAAAAATAAGAAGATTTTACATCTTTAGGCATATCATAATTAATAACATGTTTAATATCTGGGAAATCTAAACCTTTTGCAGCTACATCAGTAGCTACTAAGACATCTTTTTAACCATTTAAAAATTATTTTAATGCTTTAGTTCTATCTTCTTATTGTTTGCCTCCATGTAATCCAACAACTTCTACTCCTTTGATTAAAAGATATTCATTAATATCATCAACATCATTTTAATGTTCACTAAATATTACAACTGGTGGTGTTGTTTTTTTAAGACAATCTAATAGATAGTGTAATTTTTCTTCTTGTTTAACATATAATATTTCTTAGATCACATTCAAATTAATTTAACCACTTCTACCAACATTAATGACTAAGGGATCTACTAATGTTTATTTAGTAAATTCTTATATTTTCTTTGGTAGAGTAGCACTAAATAACATAGTTTATCTAGGACCCTAAACTAAGGTATCAATAAATTAATCATACTGTGAAATGTTCTAATATATTTCTAATTTCCAATTCAAACACTTAATCTAACATTCTATCAGCTTCATCAAGAACTATAAATCTACATAAATCCATATTAATTTTCTTTTTATTAACCATATCACTAATTCTTCCAGGTGTTCCAATAACAATATGAACTCCGTTTTTAATTGATTATAATTAAGATGACATATCCATACCTCCAATAGCAAGTAAACAATGAATTGCAGGAAATCCCTATTTCAAATAAAAATATATTTTACTTTTTTTTGAAATTTTTAACAATATAATTTGGCTAATTCATAAGTTAAGATTGCTAATTCATGAGATGGAAGTAATATTAAAGCAAATGGTCCTTCACCTCTAATTATTGACATTTTCATTTCTTCATCAATACATTACAATAATGCAGGTAACAAAAATACCAAAGTTTTACCTTAACCACTTGGTGCTACTCCTATAATGTCTCTTCCCATTAAACTTAATTATAAATTTTATATTATTACACTGCTGGTAAACCTTACATTTGTATAGGAGTTGGTTTCTTTATTTTCATTTTACTAAGTATCTTTAAAATTCTATCATCTACTCTTAAATCTTAAAATGATTTAATTGGAGGAGGTGGATCATTACCTTCGATCATGATTGAATACTTTTTCAAAATTTTATCAATTTTATATTAATCCCACAATCTTTATTTCTTTTTAGGTCTCCATCTATATATATAGATTTAATTAATTTACTTAGTTTTAACAATTTCTTTACTTTTTAAGAGCATAAGTGTACTCCATGTTGAATTTTTCATAGCATTTTCTATTTACATCTATTCATAAGCCTAAATCTTTTAAATATCTTCATCATTAATTTTTCTCATATTTCCATTATCCATTCCTTATTGTTTCATTTACATTTTCTCTTAGACAAGAGATCTCTTTTATTCATCATATTATTGATGCATTTATTGAAAATTTATTTATATTTAATAATCAAGCTTCTTCTTCTTCATCTTAATTTCCTTTAGGTTAATCTGCTTTACCTTATGCAGCTGCTTTTTCTGCTGCTTCTTATTCAAGTGCAGCTTATTCAGCTGCCAATTCTGCAGCTTTAGCAGCTTCTTCTGCTAATCTTGCTTCTTCAGCTATTCTTGCTGCTTCTTCTTCTTCTTCTTTCTTCTTTTAAATAGCTGCAGCTATTCTCTCCTTTAATTCTCCTAAAGCATCTGCTTTCTCTTCTGGGGGTACTGGCTCTTTATTTACTCTTTCTATTTATTAAAGTATCATTATTATTTCTTTTCTTATTCCATCACCTATTTCTGTTGCTATTGGATTTTCATGCATTGTTATTGATTTGAGATTCTCTAATGATTTAAGATTATTAAATTCATCTAATTTCTCTATCAAATTTCCTCTTATATTTAAATGATGTAATTTTGGTAAATTTGGAATATCTGTTAATACAACAATTTTATTTGCTCTCAAATGTAATGTATGTAATTCAGGTAAACTATTTAAATGTCCTATTTAAATTATTTAATTCTATGCAGCCCAAATTTATTTTAGTTTCAATAAATTCTAAAATCTAAAAAACTATTTTCATTTATTAAATACCCTTCAAATGTTTCTAATTTATTATTTCTCAACTCTAAAATTTCTATTGCATTATGCCCAATAAAACCTTATGCACTTTTTATTAAATTATTCTTTAATGATAATTTCTTCAATCTTGGCAAATTGATTTATCCTAAATTTGTGATTTTATTATTATCTAAATTCAATTCATCCAAGAATTCAAATGTATTTGGTACATTAAAACAATCTAAATTTGTAATTTAATTGAATGACAAATTCAAGTTTGTTAAATATCTTATTATTTACAAACTATTAACATCTTGTAAAAGATTATTTGCAAAACTAATCTTTCTCAAATGAACATAGGCCTACATCACATTAAACAACTAATTTATTTTCTAAGATGCTTTCGTCAATGAATACCTTATTTTCACATATTAATTCAACAAATGAATATCCACTTAAATTAGCAGTTTTACCAATTCTCTTTAACCCCTCTTTAATATCATTATGTAACTTTTCAATTTATAATTATTCTGGAGCATAATATTCATCTTATGGAACATCTGGTTCATCAGGCTCAATTACTTCTATTTATTCAACATCCTACTTCTCTTCTCCTTCATCTTATTAACTCATTATAATAATTATTCAAATATTAATTATTTCATATTAAAACTCACATTTCAAAATCCAATTTAAACATCTTTGCTCATAATATTTTTTATTTAATTCTCAGAATTATCCTCATAACCCTCCAGAATACTATAACAATCCTCTTAAAAAATGTTAATATTTTACATTCCTTACACCTCTCCATGTTGCTTTATTCTTAGCATAAAATTCCATTATTAAATAGAAGTATATTTAAAGAATATTGCACTTATAATTTCTATTTTTTATCCCTAACATATTTAACATTAATATTATCATCAATTTCGCGTCAACAATCTTCTTTTATCTTCCTCATTTAAATTTGTTTAACCTTATTCCTTATAAACAATATTTATCGAAAACATTATATAGTCTACTGTCTCTATAGTATACGTTATTTCTGGAATCAATATCTTTATATAAAAAATTTTGTTTTGTTCCTATAATTCCAATTTATAACTTAAAATTAATTATTGCCATCTATTCCTAATTTCATTGAATTCAGAGATCATTTCCATTCTTTGCATAAGTTTGATGGAAAATATTAAGAAATAATATTCAAAAAAAAAAATTTATATTGATTACTAAACAAAATCATATTAACCTTTGTTTGATTTCCCTATCTTTTATTAGTCTTAATATTTCCCTTTTTGTTATTATTACTATGCCACATCTATAATTATTCTATATAAGCTAAAAACATAAAAACATGTTCTAAATGCTTCAGCTACCTTATTTTTTAAATTCTTCCCTTTTTCCAAAAACTATTTAATCTTAAGACTAAAACTTGTCAATAAATTATGACTCTCAGTTTAAAAATTAAAGTAAATTATTAGATTAAGCTGGATTTAATTATTATTTTTCATTTCAAGATTCCTATTATATATATAAAACTATCTATCTATTTCTTCGATAATTATGGTAATTCAAAATAACAAAAATTTATGTATCTAATATATTTTATAAACTATCAGATACTTTATTTTAATATAGATAAAGATATCACATGAAATTTCAAATTGTTCTAGGAAAAAATATTTAGATATCAATTTAAATATTGTAATTAACAAAATAAAGTTTTACTCTTAATCATAAATTAAGTTCTTTTTAAAAGGGTAATTATTTAAAATAAAAATACCTAAATTTAGCAGACCAATGAAAAGCTTCTTTTAAAAATTAAAAAACTGATTTCAATAATAACACATCTTACTAATCAAATTAAAAATTGTTTGTAAATCCTTTCTGCAATTTTCTGAATCATTTATAATAATTTTTACATAATCTCCATTTGATCCATCATAATTCTTTTATTACAAATTTTTAGAATTTTAGAATTTATATTTAATATTTTCGCTCGCTTAAATTGTAAGTAGTAAGGTATTTTAGAATATTAAATTCCTTCTTTTAAGAGATTGTTTATAATTCAATTTTTATTGAGTTATTTTTCATTTTTTTTTTTAATTTATAAAAATAAGAATAAAACATAAGAGAATAGAATATTTATTTTTTGCTTTTTCGATAATTATTAAAAATATTTCATGAAATAGTCGTAAAATTAAACATAATTTTTAGAGCTTTAACAAAGAATTTCAAAAACTTTTTCATGTATCTTTGAAGAGTCCCCATCTAAATAACATAAATAACTAGCTAAATATTGCATTTAGTTGAATTATGATATAATGAATTTTATCATGATATTCAATAATGACTAATAAATTGAAATGGCTATCAATTTTATTAGATTTTTCAAATAGGAAATACAAAATCATATTAAAATGAATGTATAAACATTATAAAAATACCATAGATTATCCCCAACCTTTCCAGTTATAATTTCAAAGATAAAAACATAAGTTTTTAAAATCTCTAAAATTTTATTCAAATTTATCAAAAATACATAAGTAAATCAAATTTTCTATTGGCCTCAATTAATTGTGCTGTAAGTTAAATTTTAATTAAAGATTAATATTTCACATCCTAAAAATCCGAAAGAGAAACTTTAAAGTATTTTGAACTATTTGTTTCTAGAGAAAATATATTTATTAAAAATCGTTGAGCAATTATTTGATAATTTTTTATAGACAACTGATATTGTCTATCAATTAGTTTAAAATAATTAAGATTCCTGGTAAAATATACAATAAGTATTAAAATAATTTGCAAATATTATTATAAATTTACAATAGAACTAAACATAATTTAATATTGAGGCAGAGTTTTAAGAGAGTATTCAATCTTATTTTACAAAAAAATATTAAGAATAATATAATAAATGGAGTTAATAAGTTGAAATGCCACTTTATTTAAGAAAAGTTAAAATGGAATTATTGTATAATGAAAAAATACTAAATTTTGAAAATGATTAAATTAAATAAATAGTTGATTCTTTGTTAAAACAGAATCTCCTTACTTAATATACACATTATCTTTTCTCAAATTAAAATCCAATTAATCTAGAATTACTTCTTGAGAAATTTAACTATCAAGAAGGGTAACAATTAGAGGAACTACAATTGTTAGATGAATTATATTTATCTTTGTAACAAGATGATTAATAAATAAAAATGAAAATCAAATAAAAAATTATTTAAGAAGGAGAGCTCAGAATATTGATGATAATAGATTAAGAAATTACAAAATAATTGGCTCATTCTTTCATTAATAACTTTACTTAATTACATTAAAAATATCGAAAAATGATTGAAACTTGTTTCAAAGATAAAAGTTATTTTAATTAAATATTAATTAGTGCATTTGAGGAATTAGTTAACAGTTAGTTAAATGTAAAATATTAATCTTTTTTATCATTTTAGAAATTTGATTTTGGAGAATTATTAATCTTTTTTATAGAAGTAGAAATAGAAAGTATTATCAAAAACGAAAATTGGAACACTTTATTATTAGATGTCGTATATTTATTTTAATATATAAATCAATTCCATAATTTTTTATTCGTAAATATATTTCAGTAATTTTAGTATTATCAAAATATGTTGGCGCTAAGATTATTTAAATACTTTAGAATTTTAAAATAAAATGATTTTTTTTAGTCTTACTTAAAAATAGAATGCTAAATAATTTAAAATATTGAGGCCATTTTAGGAACTGCAACCCTCTAATCTTTACGAATAATGATATAAGAATTCGTTAATAATAATTTTACAATATATGAATTTCTAACTGAGAACAAAAAAATTTTATAAGCCTAAAATCCCTTATTAATAACAGAAAATAATTGGCCTAAATTTTAATAATTTAATATAGAATTAAATATTGAATTTAATGAAATTACTAAACTAAAGAAATACTACGAATCTTAATAAGAAAATAAATAGATTCTTTGGTTAGATTTTTTGTCATATGTTGAAATTGAGCATTCAATTAGTAAATAAAGAATTTTAATGAGTATTCCTTAAGCAATAATCTTATTTGTTTACTAATATGAAAATGAATTTAAGAGTATTTAAATGATATCCTAAATAACTAAGTTAGATTATAACTTTATTTAAAAAAACTGCTCTTTGATGAAAGATGTAAACATTTTGGAAGAAGTTGTTTAACAGGATTAGAATTTATTTAGGTTAAATTAAGATTGGTTAGATTTAAAGGATTCAAAAATAGGAAATTAAATAACAACTAATTCATATATTCCTATATTAAAGTTAAAAAAAAGTACTCTATTCTTATTATTGTAGAAAAATCAAAGAGAAATTTAAGCAATCCGGCCAAAGCATAAATCATGAAAATATTAAAGATTTAAAAAGAAATAATATTTTAAGATTTGTTTTAGATTGTATAAGAAAATATAAAAAAATCTTTAAAAGAGGAAGTCAATTTGGCTTTGATAAAATAAGTAATCGAAGAATTAATAGAAAATAATTATTTAGAAAGAAATACATCCAACCCAGATTTGCTTAAATATGTTTGAAAATGCTTAAATTGTATTGAAAAATAATTTAAAAAGTAGATTATAAATATTATATTAAATATAAATTATACAATGTTTATAATTCTATTATCTTGTTGTTAAAATAAATGAAATAGATGATAATTCAGAAAAATTAATATGTTTGTTAATCATTATTTTATATAATTTTATATAATTTAATATTAAATAAATCAAATAATTTTTAAGATAATCATCAATGTTAATCATCAAAAGGAGTTATTTAAAATATAATTAAATTTGAAATTAGAATGTAAGCATTAAGAAATTCAGATTGCAATGTATGAAATAAAATATATAAAAGGAATTAAAGAGATGAATATTTTTAATATTATTTGAGATTGAGAATAGTTTTAGATTACTTAACTTTGGAATAGAATAGTCAATTTTTCCTGCCATACATAAATAGAAATATATATTATTTTGTTAATTAAATCATTAATATTACATATTATCAAATCTTATAAACTGGTTCTAATATTTTTGAAAGTTAAGCATTATTTTATATTTTAATGAATTGCTTAGAAATAAACACTTTAAAAGATTGGTTTGAACATGTAGTTAATAACTAGAAACCTGTAGTTGTTAGTTTTTTTGCAGAATGGTAGGATTGTTTAACAAATATAATTTAGGTGTGCTCCATGCCGTAAACTCAACCCATAATTAATTTCGGAGGTTGAAAAGAATTCTGAAAAATGGCAACTTGTCTTAGTCAATGTGAATAATGATGAACTTTATGACGTGGTGCAATAATTTGCGGTATAAGTTATATTTGATTATAATTAGAAAGCTTAAGTCCCCTCAGTTTGTTTATTTAACATGGGAACTCAAACTGAATTAATGACAGGATATAGCGAACGCAAGATTAAGTCTTTTTTAGAAAAGATTAGATGCTGATTTTTTACTATTATTTTAAATGTCATATATTAATATTTAACAAACGTAATACAAGTTAAGTTGCTTCTTTAATTATTTCTGCATTGTTATATTTATGAGTTTAATTTGCTAACAAGGGCAACTTGAAGCAATTTATAATGTTATTCAAGTTCATAATTATATATCTATTTAAGAATTCGAAAAATTCATTATTATCGAATCTTAATCAATTAGTTTTTTCTAATCTATGACTTTAAAAACAGTATTAAAGAGGTAATTTCAATTTCTAATAGATGAATAATATAAAATTATAAGTAATTCGATGCATTTAAGTTTTTCATCAAGAATTAAATGACATAATCAATTTATTTATATTTTTAATTTGCTATTATATGATTAGTAATTAAATATATATTAAAACATCATAATATTAACTTTAAAATCATATCATTATATAAATATTATATTATTGTCAATATAGATTGATTAAGTTCTAAATTATAAACAGTGATTGATCATTGAATAGTTTTAAAAGATAAACATATAGTTTAAGACTCTTAAATGAAACTTTATTTTAGTATTAGAATAGCATAATAATTATTATATTTTAATGGTAACCAATAAATTATTATAATCATTTGGAATAATTGAAAAATCTTGATTATTATCTTATTATAATTAAAATGAATCCTTTTACATTAACTTTTATTGATGAAAATTTAGAGAAAAAGTATATAGAGAGTTATTCAATTGAATTGATTCAAGCTTTCAGATATACTTTTTCATTGATGTCAATCTCAAATATTATATTGAGTCTTTTTTGGATCAAAAGAGAAGAAATGCTTATTGGTATTTTATTAGTAGCAATAAGTCTTACATAGACAATAGTATTTTACTATATAAAAATGAAATAATAGTTTCTATCCGTAGTTGGATATTTGATTTCATCACTAAGTTTATTTGCTTCATTTTATCATTTGCTTCCTATGTATTATCCTGAGATGTATGAGCATTAATATGATTGGATTTTTGATATTTCTTAATTTCTGGCTTTAAATTTCACTTTAACTCCAAATTTTTTGTTAAATTAACTTTTACAGCTGATGTTTTTATTTTCACGATTGCTTATGCGTAATTACAATCACTTTCATATTGAGACATTGATATTAACTCTATATTTAATACTCTTTTGGTAAAAGGAATATTATAGATAAAAACACAACAGATAATTATTTTTATTAAATGAGCAGTAAAAATCCTCTTTTTCTATTTGGGATGATTTAGTGGATCATAAAATTGTATTATTAACATATAATGAGTATTGGGAGAAAATAGAATTCTAATAAGCAAATAAATGTATGAATGGATACATAAAAATAGAAAACAAAGATTTTCTTGAAGATTTTAGAGTAATTGATTAAAAAATAACACTCAATTAATATCTATTGGAAAAGGTGAGAGATAAATCAAATGAATTTTAGATAAGAGTTTTAAACACAATAAATAGAGATAAATTTATAGTGAAATGTGTTATATAAAAATTTGAATAAATAAAAATAGCAATAAAATTTAGTGAATTCTAATCTGGTTTTAGTAGTTAGTAATGGAATAACAATAGTTACCTTAGAGTATTAAAAAATTTAAAGAAGATTGATAAAACATAATATTACAGAGAGACTCTAAGGAATTTGCTTTATAATTCTTATTATATTAAAGAAAAGATACTAGAATAAGTAGAAGAGTTGAGATATTAAAAATTGAGATTATTTTTGGATACAATTTTAAATAAGGAGAAGATTCGCATTAATTTTGAAATAAAACAATTTTCGACAGTTCTTCCATTATTTTTTGCACTAATTTGTTGTTTAGTAAAAGTTTATAAGATAAGAGATATTTGTTTGATAGAATTGAATTAATATAATATATAAGTAATCTTGTATGGGAATGACATTGATGTTCCTAGACACAGATTTGATGTGTGTAAGAGGATTGTTAGTAATATACTTTAACAGATTGGATAGAATAATTGTAGATATGAATAGGATTATTGTAGTTTGATTTTAGTAAATAAATAAGAATTAATGGAATGGAGTCCTAAAAATAATTAATTAATAACATTTAGTAATTGAATATGATATATTATATTGTATTGTAATTGTGATTATAATTTTTCATAATCCTTTAGCCCATCCCAAACTTTACATGGCTTCAATTCTTAAATTTTCATTTTACTAAGTAGTAAAATTACTTTAGGAGTGAATATGTTCATAGGCTTGGGCTGCTCTCAAGACTGTATTAGCAATGACTTAATATGCAGAAGAGTACCCAGTTAATTAAACACTATTAAATCTATTTGCCTAGAGAGATAGAATAAATAATATACTATTTCTGATGGAACAGAAGATTCACTTCTAGCTAATGTTTTTAAAAGGACAGGAGCATATTGTTTAGCATAGAAATATCTAAGTTTAGGATCTTGATAATGTTCTAATAAAGAGTATGCGATTTTATTTGGAACAGTGGACATAACTAATTCTCTAATAAAATAGAAATAATGATAATTACGGATAAAGTATTCCATTATATGCAATATTGAGATCATTATCAATTCCATTATAAAGGGAAGTATAATACATTTAAATTGTTGGTTTTGGATCAAGAATAATCTATATGTTTAGAATATATAATTACAGTTGGTAATTAGAATGCAGCGCATTCAGAAACTATTTATCCATTACAAGCTAAACCAATATCACAAGCAGCTAAGGCTGAGAATTTCTCAGATTCAGTTTCAACTTAAATAACTTTAGCAGGCCATTTAATTGAATTAATAGTTTTTATTGTACGATCTTTGTGTTCAACGAATTCTGGTACTGATACTATTATTTTAATTTAATCAGTAGGATAATTCTTCATTTCATCTAGTTTTAAGAATCTTGAAATCCCATCAGCAACTGTTTTAAGACAGAATGGAATTTCTTTTGATGTATTACCACCAGCAACAAATATCAATAATTCCTGATCTCCAATATTTTATTATTATCTATATTTCTTTCTTTATTCATTAACTCTGTCAGCAACAAAATCATCAAATCTAAAGAATTCACCTCCAGGTAGATATATAGTATCCTACTATACTAAATCTTTATATTAAGGACTATTTTAAAGAAGATGTCTAAATGCTCTGTAAAGTCCATCTGGTCCTACTTATGTATGAGGGAAAGTGAATTTCTCCCAATTACTCTTTTATTCAATAATTATGATTTTGTACTTGTCTTAATGGGGTTCTTGTAAACCAATGATCTACATACTTTTAACCATATTAAGGTTAATCTTTATGAGTCAAACCATATTAGAATGTTGGAGGACATATTCGGTTGAAGTGACGATAAGACTCTCTTAATTTCTTGTAGAAATGAATCATGAAGAATTCATTCTCAAAATTCAAGAATGCTGATGGCTGATAATGTTAAACAATTTCAAAGTATTACTTATCAAGTTTATTCAAAACTTTTTTATTGATCCATCTCTTGTACATATGGACTGGATGCATTGCATTCTCAGTACTAAATTTAGCAATAGAGTGTACGCTAATCTATAGAAATTTCTGAATGGGAAGAAAGGTTTATATTGAAATTCATGATAATCTACTCCAATAGTTTCTAATCCTTCATGACCCATTTAAGGACCTCCAATACCAACAAAACGGAATTCAGTGTCTGGTTTGGCTACTTTGATGGTTGACATTACACGTGCCAAGTGCACATCTGTTGAAGGACAAGCAGCAGACAAGAAAATCGTAGCTTATTTCATAAAATATTAAATCTAATAATAATCAAAAGTTTCTTGCAGACATCTTATCTACTATATCCAGCAAATCTTCTTTTATTTTTTCAGGATCCAATTATTTTAACTTCTTAAATACTAAAATATATAAGACATTGCATCCATAATATTTGTTCTGTACTAACCAAAAAATTATAAAATATCTCACTAAACCATATAAAGGTATCATCTTTTCTATTAGAATATGAAGTAAGGGATCTAATACAAACATAATCCCTAAAATCATGTAATAAAATATTTAACGAGTCTACTCCTATTAACTGCCTATTTTGAATTACAATGGATAAAGAATTGCAATCAATAACCAAAATAACTTGATATAACTTAGAATCCATATCCCAAGAAACATTATCAAATAAAGTCCTAATCTAACTAAATTATAATCATAATTCTTTCTTGCTATCCTTAAAAATAGAGAGTTTTATATTATTTTTTGAGCCAATCGATTAATGATTTCCTCATCCATAATTTGATGAATCTATTATAACACATTGAAATAGTCCTCATTGAGATTAGATTATTCATTAAAACTTAATTTTTAAGAACTTATCATTATATTTAATCAAATGAAATTCACAGATCTCTCAAAGACTTGGTTCAATCCTTGAAATCTCTAATAATTGTTATTCCATGAAGATATAAGATTCTCCACATGAATATCACAATTGTCGAATATTGAATTTTTAGGTTTATTCTCAATCACTTATGCAATTTATTCGGCTGAATGAGCTAGAATCACATCCTTAAATGTCACTCCTTATACTTCAGGACTCATCAATTACATTTAAACTAATCCATTCTTATTGAACCATTTTGGATAATCTATATTATTTTATAAATTATTACGTTTCATCTAATCTGCTATCTATGAAACTTAACCCATAAAACTAAATGAGTCTTGAAATTTCTAGAACTAGTACTTTCTACTTATGTTACTTACATTCTATCATCAATTATTATTATATACCTAATTCCAATTCATATTTAGTTATTAAATGATCAAAAGTTAATTGACCTCATCTTGACTTAACTTAGTGAATTGTTTTAAACCAATCTCAGAAAAGTCTCTCAATAAAAACTTTAATCCTAATATATTTGCAATTGCTTAATTGTTATCTGAGGCCAACTTTCTGTACATAGATTTTAATAATTCTAATACGATTATTCAAAATCGTATTTAAATAAGTCTTAAGTATGTAATTAAATTAATAATTTGTCATCTTAATATCCTTTAATTTCAATTTATAATAATATGAGCAAACTTATTCCTATTCTTAAATTACATCTTAAAAGACAAATTCAATTTTTCATTTAAAATTTACTTTTCTACCATTTTTGGAAGTAACAAAATTTTAATAGTGTTATTCTTATATAATACTTCTAACATTTTGTTTTAAATTTTTGTAATGAAAAAATACATTTTCCATATCTAATATTGCGTTTATTGGATTATAGAAATAGTTGTAAATTTATTATAAATAATTAAATACATATTTTGTAATTATATAATTTTATAATAATTTGTATTGTATCTTATATTAATTATGTAAATTATGTGAAGAAATTATAATATATTGATATAAAATCAAAGTTGAGCTGTAGTTTTCTAAAAACTTTGGAGCATTTCCTCAGTTTTAGAGAAATTTGAGTTCCAATTTTGTAGTATTTACGAATCAATAACTTTGGGTCCATCACAAACAGATGTAATTTTAGTAGTAGAGACTTCATTTGCCAATTATTCCATAGTGTAGGCCATAAGAATATCTTTAACAGAGACACCAGAGCATTCAGGTGTTGTTATCTCTACATTAGCTACGTTTTCTTTTTATGTCCATTTAGGATAATCTAATAATGATAGATTCTAATATCTTACGATGCATTTCATCGGCGATTGTAGAAATTGATCCCATGAATGCAAAAGTTTCTTTGAATGAATTGAATTTGAATTCTTTAGTAAGTTTTGTTGAATCACTAGATGTTTACCAGGGTAGAGAATGAATCTCAAGAGCAGAGTATATTTGTTCAGAATTTAATTTTGTTACTGAAACAGATGGTACATCTTTAAAATCTCTAATGAAGATTTTCAGAGAATTTATTATGGCTGGTGTTCTAAATCCAAGTTCAGAGATGTATCTATACATGTTGAAGTTGCTGAGATATTTTTATTATTACAATTTTCTTCAACTGAGTATTCACTTTTCAAACCCTTATTAATGCGAACCATTATTTTTTCAAACGCAATATGATGATCAGTTATTTTATTTTAATATTAATCAGAACAATATATCGTAATATCAATAACACAATCATCAACATCTTGAACATAGGATTAACTAAAGTTCTCTCTAATAATCTTCTTATTATCAATATAATTAGATGTTTTTTTAAGAAACATTAAAAGAACTCCATTATGAATAAAAAAACTATGGAAATATTTTAAATTGAGAAATAATTTAAGTTTATTTTTCCACTTAAGATTTTATATGTAAGTAATACCAATTTTGAATGATAATCGATAAATATTGGATCAAATGCAAAAATTAATATAAATAGCTATACATTATTTATAGAATCAATAGAATTAAATCAAATTTAAAAAAACAAAATAAGAACTATTACTTAAAGATGTACTAGAAATATAAGAATTGAATAATATTGATATATTTTAAATTCTTTAGCAATATTAAGAAATATTAATAAGAAGTTTTTGAGGAGACTAATTTCGAGTGAATTTATAATTAAAACAAGAAAATATATATATTGAATAATTCATCCTTCATATTGAAGAGCAAGTAAATACATTTTCTAAAAATTTGATTTATAATAGAAATAAAGTAATTAAATAGATGTAAATTATAATAATTATTATTAATTCTCTGATTGAATTGGAACTTAGAGATAATATAAATGATAATTATAAAAATAAGTAAATACTTCAAAATGTATTTATTCATTCAACAATCAACAGCATCCATCTTTTTATTTGTTACTTTCTTAATTTTATTAACCAATTTTCTATCCAGGTGTTTGTTGTGTTTTTTGAGGTCTAAAATTATTTGTAAAATTGATACCCTGTTCCCTTTGTTCCTTAAGAATCTTTTTTTGCTATCAATTTTCTCGATAATTAAAGGAAAGCTTTAGACACTTAATCAGCAGTCTTTGCACTTACTTCCATATGTGCCATTTTTCTTATACTTGCATAGTCTAAGGCCTTTTATGTAGTTACTCTATTATAGAGGAGATGGGCATTACACTTTTTCCTCAATGTCACTTTTGTTTCCCAATAATAATAATTCAACGTTTTTTTCAGCATATGAATCGACTTCATTAATCCAAAATTTATCTATATCTTCAAAAGAAGCAAGGGAAGATACATCATATACTAATACAATACCATCAGCTCCCTTAATATTAAAATTATAGAATACTTTGTAATATGCACTTGTAATAGTTCTAAACCTCTCTTAACCAGCTGTATCCCAGATTTGTAATTTAACTTTTTTACCATCGATTTCAAGTGTTTTAAATCTAAAATCTACACCGATTGTAGTTAAATATGAATCACTAAATGTATCATCTGAAAATCTCAAAAGTAGAGAAGATTTACCAACACCTGAATTCCCAACAATCACTAATTTAAACAAATAATCATATTCCTTGATCATTTTGATATCTTTATTAATTATTATTTAAATTATACAACACAGAACTAATCGGTATATATAAATTTTATAATATATTCATTCCAAATTATTTATACTAGAAATCAATTTATCATGAACATCACATAATTTTGAACAATATAATTCAACCTATTTGATGGTTTATATATATTGATAAAAAAGAATGAGTAAAATTATTATTCTATTCTTAAACTAATCAATTATCCAATTTATTTAATTCAAAAATATAATTTAGAACTAACGATAAGTGTATTGAAATTACTTTATTTTAAAATTTCTACAATTATAATAATTTTGAATAGGATTAACACTAACAATTAGAAATTTTAAATGAAATAATATAAATTAGATTTATTTGAAGCTATTTTGAAATCTACAATTTTTTAATTATAAAGTTATTGCTTCTAAGAAGTATAATAATATCCCCCTTATAAGAGATGAGATGTATTAATTTTTGATATAAAGCATTTTATTTTAGAGTTTATTACAGGAGAAGGGAAAATAATAGAGAAGAAATATTGAAGTTGAAGCATTGTTATTTCCATTAGAGTTCCATTTTCAAGAATAGATGTGTATTGTTAAAGTAGGATAGTGAATAATAATAGAAATGTATTGTTATACATAATTTTAACCAAACAGATTATGAATGATACTATTAAATTTATGAAGATTGTGTAAAATTCTTTCTCAATATTTATTAAAGATTGAATTCAGCTTTATCATTTCTATTCAAATAATAAATCCATTTCCATTTTTTAATCCTTAAAGACTATACGGATTTCAGATTGAAAATGAAAACCATTTCTTTTTAAAAGTCATGTATAGATGCATTAATTAAGTATTTATCTTTTGTATTGTTTAAAAGACTTTATTAGAAAAAATCATAATTAATGATTTTATTATTAAGAGAATGTATGTAGATAGGTAGGTATTGTTTGAAGTTGATTTTAAGATAGTAATTTAAATTGTATATTATAATTAATAAATTATAAGATGAATAGTCCTTTTATTAAAGAGAAGTCAAATGATTTGGACTAGCTGAAGAAGGCAGTTTCAGATTAGATGAATGATTAATTCATAGAGACTATTTTCAATGTGCAAAAATAGAATGAGGAATAAGAACCATAGAAAGAGTAAAAGTAACGAGTGAGATATACAGAGAAATTATCGAGAATATATTATTTGTATTTGAAGTTGATAATGGGTCGAGAATTGAATGATGATGAAGATGAAGAGTTTTTAGAATATATGGATCATAGATCAACTGAAAAAGGTAGAATATTAAAAATGAAGAAAAGTTTTGAATATGTAGATGAATTTGATTATCATATGGGTGATGTTATTTTAAGGTTATTTATTTTGATTATGTAATTATAGTTTTCCAAATCCTGATTCAGATGAGGTAGAATGTGTATAATAAATGTCTCCAATGGAAGCAATTACTTTATGTATGAATAGTTTCAATCTCAAAAATAGTGGAACTGACTTTGAAGTCATTGATAATTTAGTGTTTTTAAAAGCAATTGAGGCTAGTTTATTTATGCTAGCTTA